ACAGTGTCCACTGGAAGCCCACGTGGCCTGCCTACCGCCTCCCTGTCGTCTTGCCCCAGTCCACCCTCAACTTATCCAAGCCAGACTTTGGGGCTGAAGCCAAATTGGAGGTGTCCTCTTCGTGCGGGCCCCAGTGTCATAAGAGAACTCCTCTGCCCAGCTACGAAGAGGTCAAGCAATACCTGTCCTATGAAACACTCTATGCCAATGGCAGCCGCACAGAGACCCGGGTGGGCATTTACATCCTCAATAACGGCGGCCGTGGAGCCCAGCGTCGAGACTCGGAGGCTTCAGGACGGTCTCGCAGGAAGCGGCAGATTTATGGCTATGACAGCAGGTTCAGCATTTTGGGGAAGGACTTCCTGCTGAATTACCCTTTCTCGACATCCGTGAAGTTGTCAACAGGCTGTACTGGCACCCTGGTGGCAGAAAAGCACGTCCTCACAGCTGCCCACTGCATTCACGATGGGAAAACCTATGTGAAAGGAACCCAGAAACTTAGAGTGGGCTTCCTGAAGCCCAAGTTTAAAGATGGTCGCGGCGGCAATGGCTCGAGCTCAGCCGTCCCAGACAAGATGAAATTTCAGTGGATCCGGGTGAAACGCACCCACGTGCCCAAGGGTTGGATCAAGGGCAATGCCAATGACATTGGCATGGATTATGACTATGCCCTCCTGGAACTCAAAAAACCCCACAAGAGAAAGTTTATGAAGATCGGGGTGAGCCCCCCTGCCAAACAGCTGCCCGGCGGCAGAATTCACTTCTCAGGCTATGACAATGACCGGCCCGGCAATTTGGTGTACCGCTTCTGTGACATCAAAGACGAGACCTACGATCTGCTCTATCAACAGTGCGATGCCCAGCCTGGGGCCAGTGGGTCAGGGGTCTACGTGAGGATGTGGAAGAGAGGGCAGCAAAAGTGGGAACGGAAAATTATTGGTATTTTTTCAGGGCACCAGTGGGTGGACATGAACGGTTCCCCACAGGACTTCAACGTGGCCGTCAGAATCACCCCTCTCAAATATGCCCAGATCTGCTATTGGATTAAAGGGAACTACCTGGACTGTAGAGAGGGGTGACCTAGGGTCGCCCTGGCAGCACGTAAGGGTCTTCATATACTTATTTTAGGAAAGGCCAACATTTGTCATTGATGTGTGTATATGTGTGTGTGTGTGCGTGTTATGGGACATATGATACCTTTTACCTAATGTCTTAAACTTGCAAAATGACTGGCTTTGTTATTTGAAAAACTGGTTTGTGTGTCACGTATCATTTAAGCCATTTGAGGGCATACTTTTGCATAGAAATAAAAAGCATACTGATGTTTGGGGCCATGGGGAATGTTTGGTGACTAAATTAATCTTTCACTTTTTTTAGGACCTTTGATTTTTATTTTGTTTGCAC